GCTTTTAGTCTTTCGCAATGCTTTGGTTGTGCGTGCCTTTGCGTTCACACCTGTGTCAGCAAAGACAGAGATTTCGCGCTTAAGGCGGAGCTTCTAGTCTTAGCTTAAGGGTAAACGGTGTATAGTACGCTGTATTGAAGAGGTCGAAGCCGGGTTCGCTGACTTTGAGAAATGCTTGAACGACATCTACATTTTACAGTGGCAGCTGTTAGTGGCTGTAACGAACGCCGTCTTGGAGACCGACAGGCGTCCAAGCGACCTTCCAAGAAGCCAGCAGACGTGGGAAAACGTCCAGGCATTTCTACGTTCCAAGAACCCATTGGGCTCCCGAAAGCTCAAGGACAAGCGGCGGCGGCGAGACGAGAGTGCTGGTCAGCGACCTTTCAAGAGGCCCGCCGACGTAAGAAGAAGACCAGCCACTCGGCCTTCCAGGAATCCCACAGTGGCCCACGAGATCAATGCATCCTTTCCCGAACTTCCCAGGTGAACCCCACCCGTCGGGCGCCCCGCACCCAATTACCTTCCCTTCGGAAGAGGAAGCCGCTGCAGCAGCAATCATGGATGCGCGCCGCGCCGACCCCGCCGACCGCTCGGGGGACAAGCGGACACGTCTTTGGGACAGCTAATCTGCATGGTGTTGATGGCGTCTGTGGGCGGAGACGGGGGTGTGTCGCTGTGTGTGGGGGAGGAGCTGACATAGCTAGCTGAAATCCCTACGTGGGGAATGTAGGGAAGAGCGTCTCGTTAAAAGAAGCGGACTTCTTCGGGACTCCTGTCTTCTGATGCTGCTTTTCGACCCTGTACAAATGTAAAGTAAACCCGTTGTCAAAAGCGGCCCTGCTTCCGAGCTCCTTCTGCCTGATGTCCTGGTCGGCGCCTGGCTCCAGCGGAGCCCGACTACAAGGACGACCCCGGAGTTGTTACAACTGGATGGCAGCCGGTGGGATCGAGTTCAACGACCAGTGAGCGGCGGCGCCGAAAGATTTCATGGACCGTGATCCGAGTCTGGTGAGTGACGGCATCCTTTCTCTTTCGCCAGGCCTGTAAAATAGAGTTGAGAATTTTGCAGGGGCGTGGGGACTACCTAAAGTTTGAAAGTTTTAAAGTTGGTACTTCTTGGTAGTGGAGCAGAGTTTGCCGCCCAGATAGGTCGCGGACATGGAGCTGCAGCGCTTGCTGAAATCGGAGTTGCTCGACTTGTGTGAAGAGCTTGGGGCTGAGGCGGGCACATCAGTGAAAAAAATGGAGCTCGTTAAGGCTATCCAGGAAGAGGGTCTTGAAAACGATGAAATTGAGGTAATGTGGAAACGAATCAAAAGCCGAAACGAAGACGATGCAAAATTTAAAGAATTGGAACTTGAAAAACTTCGTCTAGAGGTGGAACTGAGGAAGACGAACGGAGGACCAGAGATGGAGGTAGCAGGCAGCCGAAATCTCTATGACATGTCGAAGCTGATACAACCATTTAAGGTAGGACAGGACATGGGTCTCTACCTTGTAAACTTCGAGAGGGCGTGTGAAAGGGCACGTTTTAACCGGGACTCGTGGCCCAGAAGGTTGCTGGGTGTACTGCCCTGCGAGGCAGCCGGGGTAATCGCCAGGCTAACTGCGGAATAGGCGAACGATTACGAGTGTGTGAAGGGCTGTTTGCTCAAAAAGTACCGCCTGTCGGCGGAAGCGTTCCGACAGAAGTTCCGAAGCGTGAGCAAAAAGCCAGAGGCTAGCTACGCGGAGTTCGCGTACGAACTGAGGTCGTATCTTATCGAATGGATGAAGGTAGCCAAGTCGTATGACGACAAAGAAAGGATTCTGGAGGTGGTCGCGCTGGAACAGTTTTATAAGACACTAAGTGAACCCATGCGGACTTGGATTCAAGACAAAACAGATGTAGACTCTGTCTACAAGGCCGCGGATTTCGCGGACGAGTATAGCTCGCGCAGAAACAACAAAGAAGGAACGGGGAAAACCTTCGAAAAGACAAACTGGGACGAGCGACGCGGCAAGGGATGGAAAGGGCGAGAGCCTACGGGAAGGAACACTGAGGAAAATCGGGGGGATGAGGAAACGAAAGCATCCCAGGGCAGTGACGCGGACGATAGGCAAAAGAAGAAAGCATTCGAGGCAAGGAAGCCTATAACGTGCTTCAATTGCCATGAGACAGGGCACATTGCCGCAAGATGCACTAAACCAAGGGTGGTTTTCGCCTACGCTAGTCAGTGCGCGGAGAATGATGAGCTCCTGAGCCCGTACCTGTTCGACATGACGGTAAACGGGAAGGCATGCCGCGTGTTGCGTGACAGTGGAGCCACCATTGACCTTGTTCACCCTACTTATGTCACCGAAGCCAACTACAATGGAAAGTGTAGCTGGATCAAGTCGGTGTTAGACAAAGGGAGCGTGTGTCTTCCCGTGGCGGATGTCCTCGTTTCTGGTCCGTTCGGAGAGGTTCGCACTGAGGCGGCGGTTTCGGACAAACTGCCGCCGCAGTTCCGTTATTTGTTTTCTAACCGAACGGAAAAGATTCTAAGAGAGCAGGGAAAAAGCCTCGGGGAGGGTCTCGTTCAGGCACTCATAAGAGCTAAAGCTCGCGAGCTGTCCACGCGGTTTGCTTATGACGATGCTAGCCCGGGAAATCTAAAAGACTCTCCAGTAATGGTTTTAGAACAGAGTAGCCCTAAAGAGACGAGGAAAGGGGAAGATAACGAGAGAACCCCCGCGTTAGACAGGGAAACCCCCGACGAGCAGCTGACGCAGACAGATGGCCCTACCTCAAAAGGCTTCGAACAGCTCGTCTCCGAAACAAAGGTAGTGCTCATCGAAGAGCAGAGGGCCGATCCCAGTCTGACCAAGCTTTGGGAGACTTGCAAGGATGGCGTGGCGCGAAAAAACGTCACCTTTCCTGTCCACGAGGACGTACTGTACTTTGACAAGTTAATTTTTGTGATTGCGGGCCTGGTGATTGCGGAGGGGGTGGCGTCGCTTACTGGATTTGTGTGTTGCGGTCCGTGTTTCTTTGGGGTGTTGGCCACCCTCGACGACCTCAAAGCTGATCTCTTCAGGAGAGCAGCGGAAACTCCTCCCCTTCAGAGATCTTCCCGTCCGTGGAGAAGCTGTAACGAACGCCGTCTTGGAGACCGACAGGCGTCCAAGCGACCTTCCAAGAAGCCAGCAGACGTGGGAAAACGTCCAGGCATTTCTACGTTCCAAGAACCCATTGGGCTCCCGAAAGCTCAAGGACAAGCGGCGGCGGCGAGACGAGAGTGCTGGTCAGCGACCTTTCAAGAGGCCCGCCGACGTGGGAAGAAGACCAGCCACTCGGCCTTCCAGGAATCCCACAGTGGCTACGTTTCCATGGATGCGACCATGGCGCATCGAATCGAGATGTGACCAGTCACGCGCCCGCGATCCTCCTTTCCCTTCCTCGTCTACCCAATCATAGGCGGTTAATGTCGATTCGATTCGCTACGATCGCATCCATGGCTGAGTTTACATGGATGCGATCGTAGCGAATCGAATCGAGATTAACCGCCTATGATTGGGTAGACGAGGAAGGGAAAGGAGGATCGCGGGCGCGTGACTGGTCACATCTCGATTCGATGCGCCATGGTCGCATCCATGGAAACGTAGCCCATGTAAACTCAGCCAGTGGCCCACGAGATCAATGCATCCTTTCCCGAACTTCCTAGGTGAACTCCACCCGTCGGGCGCCCCGCACCCAATTACCTTCCCTTCGGAAGAGGAAGCCGCTGCAGCAGCAATCATGGATGCGCGCCGCGCCGACCCCGCCGACCCCTTGGGGGACAAGCGGACACGTCTTTGGGACAGCTAATCTGCATGGTGTTGATGGCGTCTGTGGGCGGAGACGGGGGTGTGTCGCTGTGTGTGGGGGAGGAGCTGACATAGCTAGCTGAAATCCCTACGTGGGGAATGTAGGGAAGAGCGTCCCGTTAAAAGAAGCGGACTTCTTCGGGACTCCTGTCTTCTGATGCTGCTTTTCGACCCTGTACAAATGTAAAGTAAACCCGTTGTCAAAAGCGGCCCTGCTTCCGAGCTCCTTCTGCCTGATGTCCTGGTCGGCGCCTGGCTCCAGCGGAGCCCGACTACAAGGACGACCCCGGAGTTGTTACATGGCCCGTTCCCCGGCTTTTCGACGGCGTGAGTGTAAACGCCGTCAGTTTCCCCGCTAAATTTGACGGGAAAATTGATGTAATGTGACCTGACGTCACGGGACCTACAGAAAATTAAGGTTCCCCCTAAATTTAGCCGAAAATTGACGTCACGTGACCGCTGCATCAATTGATTTTTTTCCCTTTTAATATACGAAATGTCCCAGCCATAGAGTTATTATAATGTACGCTAGAGGTTCAAGTGGCGCTAGTGTGCTGCTGCAAATTGAAGCAGACAGCAACCAGTCGGAAATTGACTTCCGGTTATGCATTTCTATGGGAAAAACCGAGCGCATTTTCTCGCTGCGCTCGATTATAAGAGCAAATATCACGAATATTTGTACGTACTGGCACATTTGAACATTTCTCAGTCACGCAGACAAAATAATTGGTCAGTTACGGCGTTTTTATTTGAAATTCGTGGCATGAAAAACGGTGCTAAAACCGCTTCGTACATGTATTTATGTGCACTGTCGGGCACTGTTAGCGCGAACACGACATCGGCGCTTTCCACCATGGGGGATATACGTGTCAAACGAACGAAGGACATGTGGAAAACCAAGAGAGACGGCAAGAACTACGCAGTAACACTGGATAAGTAACTCGTTGTGTATGCAAGCGATCAAAATAAATTGAAAGCCACGTAATATAGTCCGATTTGCAATAAATAAGTATATACTGCTTTATTCTTTCTGCTCATGAATATGCGCGAAGATGCTTGTTCTGGGTTCAAATCATCACCCACACGCTCCAAATCTTTGCAAATAGGGAGAAGCCGGAGAGCAGGTGCCCCATAAAAACTGCTCGACATAGATAATAATAAAAAGGCACACCTTTCGTAGTCCACGTACTTTATTTCTTACATTCAAATGTTTGTTAACCGTCGTAAAGAAGCACGAAGAAGTCATTTTCATAGAGTGACAGGACGGGCATATTAGCAATACATAAGCGCCACCGCAATGCTAGCGAACCTTGAACACACTCCACATTCTTTTCAATGGTTAGTTTGCTTAGAATCGTCGCTCGTTTTTACATACCTGCCATGAAACACAGGCTTGGGCCTGAAATATAGCGAAGCTTAACATCGTTCAGTGGTAAAGAAAAATGCTGTAATTAAAGCAATTACACTTTTACAATATTGATAAATGTACATGCTATCCGGCACAGCCGAAATAATAAAAGTTATTCATGTTATTTTCCGGCGAAGAGACAAATTTCACACGGGTTTTCCCATAGGAATGCACAGGAACATCGCAAAAGTAGACTGGTTGCTGTCTGCTTCAATTTGCCTCCCGGAAGTCGCATAGACACTAGCGCCAGTTGAACCTCTAGCGTACATTATAATAACTCTAGGGTCCCAGCAGCTTTCATTGCAGTGTTTCTTTTCTGCGCATATATGTGCGGTCATAGCTTTTCAACGAGGACCGTGAAATCAGACCTGTTTTTTTTTTTTGTAAATGACAGATGAACACATCCAAAACGTTTAACGACTCACGGCTAGTATAGCTTTAGTTAATATGTTCGCATCTTGGCAAGCAATATCGGACACCAAAAATCTACTACTGCGAGTAGGATCGGCCAATTTTGCTGTACGTGCGCCTAAATCAAGAAAACATCTTGACACATCACGTCGAACTCGTGACGGTTTTTCTTCCTTTTATGAAAATAGTCTGACCCCCCCTCCGTCCCTCCTTTGCGACGATTCGGCACTTTGCAGGAAAACGTCACTGACCCCGACCGCAGATAGTGCGAAGATAACAAGAAAGAAAAAAGAACACCGCTAGCGCATTGTGATGTCTTCGCGTGTCCTTGTCTGCCAGGCTCTCCATGCACCAACTAGCCTATAATGTTTCTACTTTTGGAGCTTTATTGCTTTCCAATCTTGGCAATCGCCTCTCTCGGACACATGAGTGTTGCTGCACCTCCGGAGGAAACGCCATATGCTTATACCTTCCTCGCCGAATAGAAACGTGCCGTTTGAAAGCTCGGACGTATAGAGTAGAGCGCTAGACGCACGTTCAGTGTCCCAAAGGATTGTTCAGCCACGGAAAGTTTGGCGGGCACGTGTCTGAGCAAATGCGCATGAACCGGAAGTTGCCCAGTGGAGTGGAGGGGTAGAGACACGACTTCGGGTCACGACAGGGTGTCCTACCGTCGTGTGTTTCACATTGATGCTGATTGTAGCGGCTCAGAGACATCGGATTCCTCATGAACTCGAGGGCCTGGGACATGGAGACCAGGTGGACGTCTTCCTTCTGCAGCAGCCATTCCACGAAGGCCATGTAGCCGTCCTGGCGCTTGGGATCCTTCAGCCACTCTTCACTCAAAGAAAGTTGGAACGGTGCCCTGTTCGTGTTGTAGTGCTGATCAAAGTGAGACCTGCATCGGGTGCAATAATGGAAATTCAGTGGGTCGTTATTGTGGCTTCTGGGAGTGGTTGGCACTAGGACTACCAGAAAGGCTATAGACTTAAAGTAGCGATACTGCCTTTCCAGATTTTCCTCTGTACCCACTCTGACTTTGTGCAGACCGGGTGCAGTTGGCGATTCTTTCGATTTGGAAATTCACTTTCGTCTGCTTTAGATGTCGTGTTTGGAAGCATAGGAAAAATCGTTTTCCTTCCTCGCGGACCGTCTTGAACATTTTCTAGAGAACGGAAATCCTTTTTCTGCGATTTCAGATAACGTTTTAGGTAAATAGCTACCATGAATTTAAGCACCAAGAGGGCTCGGGTGTAACTCAAAACGTTCCATTCGCATTTCGTCCTTCCTCGTTTCGCGCCATTCTTTTAGGGACCTCCTCGTTTGAACCCTTCCGAAGCCTCCAAACCGTTTTCTTTTTGCATTTAGTTACGTTCGTACAAGGGCCGAATGGCGCGAGCTACGTTTTCAGCCCTGGATTGGCTCTGACGGCTCGCAGCATACGCTACAGTCTAATTTAAGGAAAAATAGAGTACGGATTGGGGGAGAGCCACTCCGAGTGCACCCACCCACGACCCGGCAAAAGAGCGACATACGAAGCCGTGCTTCGACACAAAAGAGCAGTTCGGTGTTTTATTGCCAGCGCCTGCTACCACTTCCGGTAAACCCAACGAGCGGGTCCTGACCTTCGCTGCATGCTTCAAGAGCGGAAGGGATGTATGCCAAGAGCCATTAGCCAAACGGCGGAACTAAAACGCGTGTGCGTGTGCATGTGAGCGCTTGCTTATATGCGAAATGGGAGGGGGAAGGGGCGAACCTGAAGAAGTTTCTTTGGGGATAGGGCGGTGACCCAGCCATTACACCGACACCTCAAAGTGGCCCCATTTGATTTTTGTAGCGTGAGCTACACTGGCCGAGGTTGAGCAGTTTCGCGTGGCTCGCATAATGAGCGTGCTGCGCATGCGCGAGGAGCAGTGACGTCACACGGCGCACAGCTGGCGCGCCGGAGCAGCCGGAGCCGCGCGCTCCGCCGCCGCCGCGCCGGTCTGCGCATTCCAGAGGAATGACGTCATAGCCGCGGGAGACGCACTGGCGCCGCCGAGTGCCCAGCTGTGCAGCTCCGTTGCGCAGTAGCCAAGTCTGACGCTGCACTGGAGCCGCTTGATAGCGCCTCTCATTTTCTGCGCATAAGCTCACGCTTCGTATATCCTCGCATAGCCGAGCTAAGCCACCGCAATTTTTTCCTCTTGGAGGATGAAACGCGAAGGATGTAACGAGAACGGATAAGATGCGGCGGGCCCAACCGAGAAGGACGTTTTGAGAGTGGCCCGCAGGTGAACGTCTAAACGATAAAGTCGATACGAGAACGGGCCCAAATGATAAGCACCCAAATGGCTCACAGTGTCGTTATTCTGGAGCTAGCTTGCTTAGCTGCTCCAATCGGCACTTGCCCAAATAGTGGCTAGATCATAGATCTGTATGTCACGAATGAGTTTCGATAAACGCACTTTCTTGTAATGAGTGAGATCGGAACATTTTATAAGAAGATAACAGAATTGATGCTGTGGTAAATTTGTGCACATATTTTTGTATAGCCTTGGACAAAGCCAGCTGAACAACATGAAACAGTGACCTCGGACCTTGTGCGCGCGTCATGCCGGCAGCAATATGCATCCTGCTGAAGGTGGGCGGTTTCAACACCACCGAGAATAATCAAAGCTTGTGCACTAACATTCTGACATCATCCTGCAGCGAGTTGGAGCGTGCACGCGGACATACTAAAAACAAAAGCAGCGCGAAGACGAGGGCATAGTGAAAGGAATATGAAAGGGACACAGCGCTGACTCTAAACTTAAATTTATTCATGTTAGCCTTTAGTATTAATACCATACATGTTACCCGAATAAAACATGTAAGAACACAAAACGTGCACGTGACGTGTTAATTCCACCACAGTTACTAGTTTGCCTCCTCGCTCCAAGAAGTTCCGCTCTTTATCGAAAAGTAAAATCGAAGGGGCACTAACGCAATCTGGCCCCAGTCTGGTTATATCGTGGGCTTAAATGAAAAGGGTGAGATAACTTAAGCACGCAATATTGCGAGACTGGGGCTAGGTTCCGTTAGGCCTGTTTGATTTTCCTTTACGTTAGGGAGCGGCAATTCTTGGAGCGAGGAGGGCACGATCGTGGTGTAATGTACATATGATATGAATGTTTTCAGTTTTTCCATGGTTTATTCGAGTGACGTGTGTACTATCACTACTAGATGCTAACATAAATAAACTTCAATTGAGAGCCAGCGCTTTGTCCTGTCGGTTTCCTTTTAGTTTGTCCTCGTCTTTGCAGTGTTTTGTTTTGTTTTTATTATGTGAAAATACCAACCAGCCCAAACCGTAAGGTCGAGTGGAAGAATCGGAGCATCAACCTTGCCTCTTAAGTCGACTCAGCTGTGCTGAAGCAGGAGTCCCACTTCGCCTCCGCACAGAAAACGCAAAATTAAAAAAAAAAAAAAAAAGAAATTGAATCGGCGGAGCAGACGAAAATTACCTCTTTGGGATGTTTGCAAAGTGCCAAAAGACACTGGAATGTCTGGGAATGTCTAAAATTTAACACTCAATGGAAGAGACTTTCCCAGCAAATTCAAGACCTTTATCCACCACTAGAAGAAACGGATGACCTTGTTTTTCCCAGAGGCTCTCAAGCCCACCGAATGCACCTTTAGATACTTTTTCTGCGCTTTTTAAAGGATTCTTGATTAAAGGATCGGAACAGCAAATGAGTACGTGTGTTTGTGTGTATCTGTTATGTGTATGTGTGATCAATACCCGTCATCTTCTCTGCTCTTTTCTTCCTTTCTGCTTTCCTTTCTCTTATTTTCATTTTTTGCTCTCTTTAAATTTCGCTCTATTTTTAAACGGGCTATCGTCGGCGTCTCCCGCATAACAAACTCCGTCCTCTTTGCCTTTTCGGAATACCACCACCAGCATCACCACCACCTTATTTGACGTTAATCGTGCGCACAGATTGGACAGGTATGCTGCGTTTGTGTTCGGCAGCGCCTTGTGTGCACTCACCGCGTCGAAGGACAGTCGGCGTCGAGCTTGGGCCCAATAGACCGATCTCACCGAGTGTTCGGCGCATGCGTGACGCCGCCATAACTTTAGTTCACAGGATGCAAAATGCAGTGCAGGAGAGGGATCATGATGTCTCGTGGCCCACACGCGCAGAGTTCTAGCGAGGTTGTCGCACTTGCAGAAAGACTAAAGTTCCCTCCATGCATTGCGGCAGCGGTGGCGTTGTCAAACTGGCTGGTGAGATCGGTCTATTGCTGAGTTTGCGCCTTCCGAATGTGATGACGTTCCGTAGATGAAGAGAAGGAAGTTCGCGGGCCTTTTTCATTCTAGGTGGTGTTGGTCGATTGTGCTAGGTTAGCGTCTGTCAACGTCCGGTTATCAGCAGCAGTGCTGATCAGCACAGTGCTGTCAAGAACTGGGAGGTCAAGCAGCCAGATGACGAAAGTTGATAATCTTGCAACCGGCCAACGTTCTGTAGGAGTGCTTCATATCACCCCCAGCGCGACGCGCGCGCGTAGTCAAAGACCGCATTTTACTCTGGCTTTGTTGGCTACGTCCATGACTAGAATGCTTCAAGTATCGCCATTGCGTAAATCCTTCAAAAGGAAGTAGCCTGTCACTTACTTCTGACGTTACTCTTAAAATATCTTAACACAATGCCACTCGATTCCAGGAACTGACCACTTCTAAGGTTGTAAATGCGGCTTTCTACAAGAAAGGTTTATGTCAGGATGTAACCCATATTAGAACTAATACCCATTCGCACTCGGTTACCTAAAAAAACGGTTCCCTAAAACTCTCTATTAACCGATAACGACGCCGAAGAACGTATCAGGAATGAATAAGTGGAAAACGAGAAACGCCAAAACCGTGTCTTAAATTGTCATGTGCCTACGGTAGGACGGGGGGTTTAGGCAGGACCATTACCTCAGGTAGCGGAACGTGTCGTCGGCGGTGGTCGGCTGCGGCTCGCACGGGTCTCCGTAGGGACAGGGTACCTCATGATCTTGCCCATCGACGACTTGGCTCTTGAGGTACACGTTGATGGGGAAGACCCAGAATCCGGGATACGGGTCTCGAGGACAGGGCTCAACGACGCACGGCATCTTGAATCCGTGGTCCAGTGTGTAGGGATACAGCGGAAGGTCTTCCCCACGACGCCTCAGGTGGACGAGCGAGTTGTCGTACTTGACGTTGCTGCTCTGGAGCGCTTTAAATCCCTTGTCTCCGCCCGCGTTGAAGAAAGGGCCCCTGAAACCCTTCACGTCGCCTGCCGTGATGTTGCCGAACGTCTCCAGCATCTTCCTCTGGTCGGCGACTTCGCGCGCCCATTGTTCCGGGCTCAAGGACCTCCAGAAGTCAGGGTCGTTTCGAATGCTTGCAGAGAAGAAAAGAGGGGAATTTTGAAACTACAGTTGACTACCGTACTTGGACTAAACTTTTCGTTTTAAAACACGATGCATTCTTTTTAAACTTCGGCTTATTATAGTGGTCAGTGCAAACACTTCGTATTCATACGGAAGAGTGACGTTTATTAACAATGTTGGTGAGAGTAAACTCTTCGCGTTCATGTTAAATAAAGGTGTTTCAAAGGACAGTGAAACGATTTTCAAACTTTGACTATTATAGCAGTCATGGTACACTGTCTTAAATTGGGAATTGTGTGAAGGTGGTACCGGTTCTTGTTTGCAATACGAAATATTCACACAGAAATGCAGCTGAGATTGAGCAAGACGGGTGGTTTTGAGACAAATAAATGCTCGAAATGGTTCATGGTAATAAAACCCGAGGCTCAGGAACACAGACGTTGTGTTGTGTTTGTCCCCTTCTGTGTTCCTGGGTTTCGGGTTTTATTACCATGAATCATCACCAGCTCGCTTGTTTTTTAAGTATTATTGCTCGAAATGGTGCTACCACAATAGGGTTGATTACAAAAAGAACGTCTAATGTTTTACAAATTTTTATTTTTACTATACTTCGCTTTTAAATTAAGTCCTATCGAAGCTAACACCGCGATATGATGAAGCCAATCATGCAGCGCCACAACTGTATGAGGAACGCAAGTTCGTGTGCTTCTTGCACCTGGGTTGGAGTGACGTTAGAACGCAGAGCTCCGATTGGCTCTGTTGGAAGAATAGTGGGTAGACCTCAAAGCAAGCTGCCTCGAGGTCTACCCATTATCCATCCAATCAAAGTTAGGCGTTCTGGTGTCACAACACTCCTGCAAAAAAAGAAGCAGACGGACTTGCGCTCCGAAGTGAACATGGCGCTCGTCGACTTCGTGGGTTTCCTAGCGCTGGCTAAACCATTCACGCGCGGTAGATGCGACATGATCCTGTTTTTTTTTTCTGTATGTGATTGGTTTATAAGACTATAGCAAACGCACAAAGGCCGCGAGTGCCGTGACTACGCAAATTCGGTGCTGTTTGCTTGGCTCCATCAGATGGTAGCGTCCCCCCCCCCCCCCCCCCCCCCCCCTTTCCCTGGCGGCAGACGAGGAAAACATTCATACAATACCCGAACGTGGTCGTCTTAACGTGGCACATGTCTATCCTGTTGAATGTTTCCGTATGTAATAATTCGTTCAGTGGTTTGGACATCACTGTATAAATATTTTGTTTTTTATTCCCTTGATTATGCCGCATCTATCCGGTCATTAGAGAGTTTTAGTAGACCGTTTTCATCTTCCGCTCCGCTCTCAGGGTGCAAAACTGCGCATGCGCGGCCCGCTTCGCCGGAATGGAAAGTGGAGGTCCAAAAACGCGTTTTAGTAGAGCGTTTTTCTTCAGCGTAAGAGCGTTTTGAGCGGGTTCGAAAATTTTGCTTGCGTAGCCCCACAAGTGGACGTTTATAGTACTAGTAAGACAAAAAAACCTAAGCGTTAACTCCAAGAGAGTAAAAGGGAGCGTGAGTGTAGAGGTAGTAAAAACGAAGGCGACAATAATGAACACAAAAGAGTAGGCACACACCTGAAGAAATATTAAGCTATAAAATATAAATATAATCGTTCCACCTTGTGTGCGAGTGAAGCCGAAGGTATAAGGATGAGCATGTTGCTCTAAACGGTACTTGCACTGCACGAGCGCGCGTGCTTATCAAGGACGCTGAAAGGCCGGCACTCACTCTTGTAGCTTCTGCTCCACTCGAATTAAAACTGAAACAGATTTACTTATTCGAAGTAGAAAAAGAAGAGAAAAGGACGAAGTTTGTAACGATTGGTGTAATCTGAGCTAGTTGGTTACTCATTATGAAAAAAAACCAGCTGAACTAAGGAAAAGGTAGAGATAGAAAGAAAGACACCCGATCGCAAACTTCATGACGAAGTTTGCGCATTGCGAGTACATCCTTTTGCGTAGTACGAGTACAGTGTTGCTCAAGGATAGCAAATGAATCCCCGCTGTTCTAAAGGAAGGAGACTTCTACTAACGAGATTAAGCTGGCGAGACATCGAATCTATGATTCGTATCCCTCGTGCCATCAAGCGCCGAAGCTTCCTTTCCGAACGCGGTTTGCTGGATATTTCCAACGTAGAAAAGAAACCCTTTAGGAAGCTATCCTGCTGGCTGTTCTGCATGCGGGCCTCCAAATACCAGCACCCGACAGATCGGCGCAGGGTGTTGCCAATCTGGCGAGACGCTTTGCATGGTTCTTCCTCGACTGGCCTATCCCAACCGTCTGTTCGTACTTGGATGAGCGTTTGGACGGAACTTGTCGGTGTTCTTCAGTTCTGTGAACCTCATCGTGGGTCACATCAACGAGAGGTTCGGCCACCTGCTCGCTGACATGAACAAACATAGGTGGTTGACCCTGGCGAAACTAGAGCTGTGCTCACAGGTGAGACCCTGCATGGTTTGTGTAAATTTCGCGTTTCCATTGTTTCTAGCACAGCTGCTCTGTCTGGTGAAAAGTTACTTTTTTCTATACGCCAAAAGTGTACATGGGCAGTGTCAGGAAAAGTCACGACGAGCGCGTTCGTAATTTATGAGTATTAGTAGGCCACTTTTATGAGCCCTCTTTGCTCTACTTTACGCTCTGCGAGAAGCATCGTCCCCACCGCGCATGCGTGGCCCGCTCTGAGTTGGAGCATATAGTTAGCGGAGTGAGCGTGCGCTCCGCTTCACAAGTTGTAGAGCGGACTGCCCTCAGCGTCCTTAGCGTGATCGCTTAGATCTCAAGATGGCTGCACTTACTCAATACGCGTCGATGTTTTCGACCGTGACCTCAGCTTGAAAGAGGTCGAATCAAGAAGAAAAGCGTACGCCCCGCGCGTAAAAAGTAAACCATTCGATTTGAGTTTCATGTAACACAAAACAGCATAATCAAACGAACTGAACGAGTATCACTTTGCAACCAGCACGGCGTCGGTAAAGTCGTCGCGTTTTGTGGACGTCCTATGGCTATGCAGTCAGATGTACGGGTGCGCGTGCTTGAACGCCGATTATATCTGTGCATGCGCTCTCCTGTCGAAAATGCCACTGAAAGCTGACCACGAGCATAGCGCTCGCAAGCTGCACCAAAGAAACCATTCCTCTCAGCTTTATTTATTCACATTCGCTCGCAACTTTTGAATTGTTTAACTTTCCTCAAGAAATGTTTGCATTGGATTTCCTTGGTAGATTTAGAAAATATTAGAAACTTAAATGCAGCCTTTTTAAAAGTGCAATCCATGGTGCCGCTAGTCTTCGAGGCCGCCTTATTTTGGCCAAGTGTCTAGGGAGCAAGAGAGCTACGTCATTGTTTGTCACGGACGCAAGTCTAAATGTATTAGACACGAATGCTGCGTCAATACTGAATATGAAATGGGTTCTAGTCACAAGTCTCGCACTAAAAGCGATGCCCAAAATATGGCGGCCGAATATGTTACCCGGTGGTGTTTTGAAAAGAGTTACCAATAACGGTCGAAAGAATATTCCACGTCAATTTTTTATCTGGTGACAACCAGACAGGCATAAACAATGCAAACTTTAGCAAACACAACCCTGGACTTCTAAGCGATAGTGGTAGATTAGAACAGTTTTTAGAAGTTTTGTTTTGAATTCCGGCGTAGCGGGCCTCGCATGCACAGTTTGACGGCCTCAAACCTTAGCAGAATTAAGGAACAACTATATATATATATATTAATTTACGATACCCAGTTTTTTCCAACCCTACAATGGAAATACGCTTTATCTTAGAGGAGTAACAAGTCCCATATCACATGTTTTGGTAGTGTTTAAATACTGCCGTGTTGTAAGTGTTTTTCTTTGTCTTTTTTATTAGGCCGTCAAGGACAAGGGAACACCCCTGAACAACTGTTGGGGTTTTGTTGACCGCGCAGCATGCCCATATGCCGTCCATCAAAAAAATGAGAAGAAGACCACAAGAGGGTGCTCGTCGTGAAGCACCAGGCAGTGACGTGCGCAGACGGCATAATTTGACGGTTGGACGAAACCTACAAAGACAATGGGCATTTTTTTTTGTTTGTTTAATATTAGAATGCATAAAATTATTACAGTAAATCATGTTCAAGCTTTTGTACTGAGCGAAATACCTGTCCAACTGGGCTGAAAGGCATCTAGAAATGTTTTAATAAAAAACGTTTACTAACGACTCTTATTTTACTTCTCAGATGTGCGTGTGAATATTGCATCTAACCAAATTACAGTGTTACTGTTGAATTCAGCATTGTAAGAGTAGACTATGTTGCGTGGCCTTCTATTGCAAGAAAAGACCGTAGCACAAGTGAGGCAGAAACTGGGCAGGAGCTTAAGCTGAAAAACGCACTTTCATAAACACACAAAAGAAATAAAAAGAAGTGTATAGTTCAGCAAAATGGTTTCATGTCACCCCCAAGGCAGATACATACACTGCGCTCCACTGTAAATACGAACACGAAAAAAATCGCTTTTATTTGCAGTTTATTTCTATGACAGCTATTGAAAAAGCTGAAAATGTGTCGCTCAGATTAGTGCCCCGAACGAGCGCTTTATTCCACACCAATAGGCAAATGTCAGCCCCTCGAATTTAAGGTGAAAAATGAAAACAGGATATTGAATGCTCCCACTAACAGTGTCGCGCAGTGTACATAAACACCAAGGCACCATATCACCAACCCAAGCATACGAAGAAGAAAAGACTCATTTCATTGGGGGAAAAAAAGTAGAGATATAAATGGAGCACTCGCTTCCGCTAATTTTCACTGTCTTGCTGCCTGAAGTAACCAAACAAAGTATCTGTCCGTTTGCCGACTGCATTAGTCTTTGGTCTTTAACCTTTAACTTTTGGCTCTGGAGAGCCGCGGCACCGCGGAAAGCAGCAGCCTGTACCACCGAGGCCCGCGGTGCCGTGTCTAGGGAACATGGTAATGTGATGAGTATATACGTGCAAGATGACGACGACATGGGTTGTTGGTATTGGGGAGGGTGGCAGTCCGATTCGCAGAAGTCCAGACTTCGTGGAGGCGGGTTGGGCGGGTGAGCAGCGAGCTATGAGGATCTTGCACGCCGTTCGATCAGTGCATGAAGGAGCACCAGGAACATAATAGCGCTATTGCTCACTGGGGTCCACTGGGGTCAAAGAATCATGCTCCAAGGAGGTAGTCCAGCCGAAGTAGAAGCTGCCGCCTCCGACGAACCGAGGCCCAGGGCTCAGATTGAGACACCGCCGTCGCCCGCGGTGTGTCATCCTCTCAACGTCGTCGTCGTCATCTCGCATAGAAAAATCGAGCCCGCTGGCTTAGACAAGGCAGCACTTGCTCCCACCGTTCAGGGGCCGTGAAAGGATTGCGGACAGCGATTTCTCGGAGCAGCCAGGGGTTCTTGACCACCGTGAAACGTTTCCTGGGGGACGCCTTTTCAAACAAAGTCTGCGCAGCTTCTTAGTGCAGCGAGGTTCATAAGGGTCAAGCGCGCTCCCAAGCATGATTTCAAATAGCGAGCACCCACCTTTCCAGAAAAGCACCATCTACTGAACCTTTACTGAGAGTGGAACGTACTTCTTAAATTGGCGACGATAGCGGAGCTCACGCTCCACGCTCAAATCCCAGAGCGGGTCGCGCATGCGCGATGGCGACTCCGCTTTCCATAGAGCGGAGCGGGAAACCGAAAACGGTCTACTAAAACTCTCTATTCTGTTACGAGGCTACGCAGCGGATTTTCGTCGTACTACACGTAAATTAACGATTGGGCGGGAGGTTTATCTAATTTATCAAAATTTACGTGGTGAAATCGGTGTTTTATCATGTAAGACGCTAAACGGCGTCAAAGTTTCATTTTACCGGGAGTAGATTGTCCTGCAACTTTCTACCATACCCAGTAGTACCGTAGCCTCCCATATAAACCTTTTCGCCGTCCTTCGCCTGGTTGCTGCCACCTTGTAATCACGTCACGCGTCCGCCAATAGGTTGCTTCAACTGGTCTCCCCGCTGTCCTCCGTGTCCCTCCTCCGCCAAGCCACATTTATTTTTCCACTCCCTCCCACTTCCCCCCCGTCCCCCCTCTGAGGATCTCCCTCTGACGATCTCTGAGGAGCGCAACTGTATTTCATCCTCATTTTGTCGCGTTTTGTATTTCTTTCTCTTACAGTTTTTGCGGCCTGTTCTGGCGTCGAAGGCAAAGGCTTTCTCCGTATAGAGGCAATAGTAGTACCGTTGTGTGTTGCAAATTACAGCATTTTTTCCCATGAGACTAGGCGTGTGTCATATCAATATTTGACATAAAAATGAGACATTAACGGTCCTCTTTCGCTATACTCCAGCCTTACGATTGCTTATCTATGCATTTTTTAGAGACATTATACAAAACAAAATTCAAACAGCCGTCCGTTCGACGTTTCTCAGTAGATACACAAAAAACTACTGACCCTAAATGACCACCCACTCATGTTTCTGACGTTACGTTAGCAAGATGGCGCTGGATGTAGACAGGAGCACGCGCACTTGCATCGCTCTTGAAAACAAACGTACTTCGAGCATGGGCAGTGTTCACAGCTTCCGTAGACAAACGCGCCTGTTAATGTACTCATAAGAAATGAATGCTCGTGAAAGATTTTTTAGCAGTTAATCTCCTTGTGTATAAAATATATCTGGAAAAACTCAAAGAACTAAGAAAACATTTACAGTTGGGCTCACCTGATAGAATGAAGAGCGATTTCATTGCCAATAAAGTAAAAATCGTTCATGAACACATAATCGATGTCGGCGGAAACGAAGAAGGTGACCGAGATGTCGCAACCCGTCGCCTTGTTCTTCTTGTGGGCCCCACCGAAAAGTTTGTAGAAGAACGGAATGTTGCCTTCGTGAACCGTGTGGTTGAATGTCAGCATCACCAACTGCGGCGTGTCCTTCAACGCGAGTCCTCCTGGTGGCAGTTCGCTGCTGCACGCGCAACTGGGAAGCCTGCATCTTTGGGCGTCGCAACCGCTATTCTCCGGTCTGTAGAGCTTGGTGTCGATCCTAGGTGGAACTGTCGAAGGTGTCGCTTCGGGCACCTGAGTCGTAACGAGCAAAGCGTGATCCTGGACCGATTGATTTCGGCCTCCCAGATATCTCTTGAGCTCGTCCACCACAGATAGCAGCGTTTCCAGCGCTCCTTTCGCGACGCATGTCTGCCCTTCTAAAGAGGCACCATTGGAACATTGTGGATTGTCCGACGAAGTCTCTGATGTGCTATTGGACGTTCTCTCAACGGTGATGACCAGCTTCTCCTTCTGTGATATCTTGATTGATCCGCCGGGACTGTTCGTCGCGCCGGTTTTTCCGTCTACGACTGGATCACTCGGCAGTTGGATTTTGTGTTGGACGGACTGGTCCACGTTTGAGGACAGCAGTGCAAAGCTTACCTTAGCCGGAAGCGAATTGGTTTCCTTCGGGACGCTTGGCACCGAAGAAGAGAACCTCAGACATCCTAGAATGAGCACGGTGAAGAGCCTGCAGAGATTCATCCTTCGATTACAACGCGAAGCTTTCGGCGTCCGGAATGTGACACCAGTGCCTTTTCAGAGCTTGCTAGATTAGATAAATACTTTGCGTATGACCTTCGATCTTCTCTCTCTTATATCTTACCGATTGCAGCAAACATTCAAAGGGGCGGACAGATAAGGCGCATAAAAGCCAAGACGTCGTCAAATGCGTTACCGAGGTGAGACAAATGCCATTGGCGCCATATCAAAATCCACTTACATAGGGAGAAACAAAAAAAGGGAAAGAATTTGATATATATTTATTAATATAAAAAAAAACGGTTTAAAAGAAAAGGAGAACGATGTGTTCTTGTTTAGACTGACGAAGAGCCTACCAGGCTCGAAACGTTTCTGTAGCTCACCTTTTTTGGCGACCTCTCCGACCAACTCCATAAGGGCAAATATTGTGTGATTATATATATATATATATATATATATATATATATATATATATATATATCGATTTCTTTCTCCTAATGTTCTCTATGGCAAATGGATTTTGATATGGCGCCTATGGCATTTGTTTCACCTCAGTGGCGCATTTGACGACGTCTTTGCTTTTACACGCCTTATCTGTCTGACCCTTATATATATATCGATTTCTTTCTCCTTTATGCTCTCTATGGCAAATGGATTTTGATATGGTGCCGATGACAGTTGTTTGACCTCGGTAACACATTTGACGACGTCTTTTCTATTATACGCCTTATCCGTCCGACACTTTGGATGTTTGCTGCAATTGCAACTTTCTGGTCGGAACCGCATTCCCAGCTGTGAGCATTTTTGCTGGCGCCTCTTTGTTGGTGTAGCCCGTAAATGTCAGGTGAAGAATCGCCACTTCAGGAGGGAAGAGGGGACAGGTAACTGAACGGTTCTGAAACAAGAAACATGGCGCGTTTCAGAACCAGTTTGGCAGGGGACGCAACCACCCCTAGTGGGTGCAGCTGTCTTACGGCCCAGGCTGTTTTACGGCCTCTACGGTGAAGCCTAAAAACGTTTATATGATTACAATGCGGCAGTGACAGATAGTTGCCTGAAAGCGCCACTGGATGGCCAGGTGTGCCGTAGCGCGGCAGTGGGGGGTGTCATTGCTATAATCGGGGACAACCGTTTGTGGCTATGCGGTCAAAGCTATGGAAGCGCGTGCTTGAGAGCCGTTTGTTTCAACTTGCTTGATCTGTTCGCAATCCTCTTGGGGAACCAACACATCTGCCTTTGGATTTCTGCTTTTCGGCTTAGATGCTGACAGCTTCAAAGCGAGTTCTTTTCGGGCTTTCATAAATACAGACATTAGGTCCTTTGAAGACACACCGACCACCGTGGACATGGCTTCAGGGACTAGCTTCTTGATGCGGCATCAACTTGCACAATCCTCCTTTTAACGTTCCTTCTGCACAATTCAGGAGATGGAAATTTATCGTTCATAACAAGGTATTTCGTTGGTATCCTTTTCTTTCACGCGTTGCTTAGGGATTCGTCGCTGGGCCGCTGTTGGGACACGCAAAAGTCTCCCTCAATGTTGGCTTGCTATTGACCGATCTCACAAATCGTTCTACGCATGCGTGATGCCGCCGTACTGTAGTTCATAGGAGCTCCTTTAGTGAAAAAGCCATTTGTATAAGAAATTTCGTGTGTCCAATAAACACATGAGTCATAAAAGATATATAAGAACATAGAAGAACAGCTTAAGAACTATATAACAACTATATAAGATATATAAGAACATAAAATAAGAAACTTATAAGAAACTTCTTACAAGTTTCTTATATGATTCTGATATATTCGTATATATCTTATATCGTTGTTATATGGTTCTTATATGTTCTTATATGTTTGTAGCGCAGAAAATGCGTAGACGTCTATGCTACTCAAATAAAAACCTGTTTAATCAACATTTCAAATTCGGAGCTAGCTGGCTGGCCGAGCGCCGAGATCAGTTGGAACTGGAAAATGGCGGTTGGTCAGAGCGCCAGCCTCGGGATGCACGTGTTCATGCCCAGTGGTCTTTCGCACGATGTTTCTGCTTTCTGTTGCATCTGTTGGGCCTTTTGACCGCCACAGGAGCTCCCCCTAGTCACGGAAGGGGGAACAGCTCCTGTGCTACGATGGTGTGGAACAGGTTCAGTAACAAAGTGCACCCTCTTGAGAGTCGTCTTTTTTGTCGATACCTTGATTGCGGTTGTTGTAGGATGTCCTTTTGGAGCGTTGTTCGAATTCCTAGAATAACTATGCTGAGGGCTTCTGTCCATAATGTGGCGTCTGAAGCCTGCAGTGCTGCTTTACCGTTCACGGCGCGGGGAAGTCATAGATTTATTTATTTATTCATTTTATTTTTTCAAAGGCGCCCGTAGGAGGGGGTGGGCATTACACTGCAAAGAAGCGAAAATTCAAGAAAGCTGCGGATAAAATACAAAAGAATACAAAAAGTGCACATCTATATCAAGAAAGACAGGGAGAGCACACAAATGCACGCATGAATTTAATAAATATTAAACTATGATTGATGTAGGGCTATAAGAGCTTCTTCGAATTTATCCAAGTCCCTAAGCTGTACTTTGTCTTCAGAAAGATCTTTCCAATCTTTGGCTGCTTCAATAAAAAAAGGATTTGCAAATCGGTTTGTGTTTGGGTGAGGATATGACACCTGTTGGGGTGTTGTTAAAGTGACTTGAAAAGTGAGAACGGAGCGTAATGTAAGGGTTCGGTGACAACGTGTGATAATATCGGTGAAACAGTGACAATCTGGCAATTCTACGACGGTGATTTAGCAAAGGCAGAGCCGCACGTTTCTTTAGCTGGGTGACGCTTGTAAAAGACGAATAGTCGGAGTATACGAATCGTAGAGCACGATTTTGAATGGCTTCCAAAGTTTTCTATAAGATAATTTTGGTGTGGATCCCATATCGCTGCGGCATATTCTAGTTTGGGGCGGATGAGTGTTATATAAGCGAGCAGTTTCAAGGTGAGGAGGAGCAGATTTTAAGGTACGTTGCAGAAAACCAAAGGATTTACTTGCAGTTGAATTTATAGTGTTTATGTGGATGGACCATGAAAGGACTTTACTGAAGTGCACGCCTAGGTATTTGTAAGTACTAGTTGCTTTTAGGACAGAACTACCGATGGAGTAATTATAAGTAAATGGATTGGTACGTTTATGAAAACATACGAGTTTACATTTTGAAACATTTAAGGACATTTGCCATTTATTACGCCGATTTTCTATAGATGAAAGATCTGCCGGCAATTTCACTTTGTCATCGTAACTGTTAATTTTGGAATATAAGACGCAATCATCGGCAAAAAGGCGGATGTTATTCGATACACAGAGCGGCAAATCATTAATATATATTAAAAAGAGAAAAGGGCCAAGCACTGTGCCTTGAGGTACTCCCGAGAGAACGGGGCTGGTGTTAGAGGGGGTGCTTTTTACAAGAACGAACTGATTTCTATTAGAAAGGAAGTTGTTAATTCGGGATAACACGAACGGGTCTGTTAAGCAAGGCAATTTTAGACATAGTCGGCGATGCGGGACTTTGTCGAACGCTATTTTGAAATCGAGAATAATTGTGTCTGTCTGTGTGTTATTGTCGAAATTAACATGTAGGTCGTGAAGGAATCCGGCTAGTTGTGTTTCACGAGATAAATCCCTATGGAAACCATGTTGTGAAGTGTGTATGAAGTTGTTATGCTCTAGGTGATTTATAATGTTTGTGAAAATTATGTGTTGCAAAATTTTTGATGGCACTCTTGTCAAAGATATGGGCCGGTAATTATATGATGAAAACCTGGAACCGGGTTTGGGGATTGGAATAATCTTACCTAACTTGCACTGAGCTGGGACGTGGTCTGTTTCGAGTGATTGAGAAAACAGTAATGTGAGAATGACGCTGCTTATCACCTTTGTGTTTTTCAGTATTTTGGAGTTGATGTTGTCTGGTCCAGCAGCTGATGAAAGTTTCATATTGTTAATCAGATTGACTATGCCGTTGTAGTTAACTATTATTGGAGACATAGTTTCAGGAATCACTGTGTCGGTAGTAGCTGGGGTGGGGAGTCAGGTTGCGCTCTTGCGTAAAAACGGAGCGGAAAGCGTTGTTCCACGTATTAGCACATTCACTGTTACTTAAGGGCTCATCGGAATTACCATGCAAGGTAATTGAAGTTACGGCTGAAGGGTTTACAGTTTTTCAAAACTTGTTGGGGTTATTCTTAAGCATACTGGGTAGGGTGGTTTCAAAAAAGCACTGCTTAGCTTTGCGAACTGCATTTGAAAAATATTTTTCCGCTACATAATAGAGTTGCCACGTAGAAGGTATGTTTTTTGCTTTGGCTAATTTAAATAAACGCTTTTTTGTTGTTCATTTTTCTAATTGCATTGTTAAACCATGGGCCAATGGTTTGCTTTTAATGGTAATGGTTGGTATAAATTTATCTACTAGCTCGTTCAATTTGTTACAAAATATGTACCAGTTTTCATCGACAGCGGGATAGTGAAAACCTCGCTCGTATGAGAGATAGAAGTTTTCGAGTTCTCTGTTTAGGACTTCGTAATTTCCGCGGTCATAAAGTTTGATTTGCTTGGAAATCGGTTTTGGTTTTGGAGACATTATTTGAAAGTAGCCAGAATTACTTTATGGTCGCTTTGTTCTTTAAGGTAATACAGGGATTGCAATTTGCTTGGGTTTGTCATGGGTATTAAGTCTAGTATGTTCGAAGTATGTGCAGTCTCTCTTGTTGCTTGCCCCCGCAGGGGGCACCTGTGAAAGCAGGTGTTTGGAGAGTGGCGTCTCCACGGACCCCGAGCCATGCGGGTTCGCCCACCCACGTCTGGCTGTGCGTGGCTTTCCCGCGTCCGGGGAAAAGGGCATCCTTGTGGTTGAGCCGAGCCCGGGGTAGGTTTGAATCCTACGGGGCCCCCCGGGTGAGGCAATACACCACTTCGGCCCCCACTTCCCGTAGACGGGTGTCCTGGCTTGGCCCGACCAGGATGATTCAGTCAGTCGCCATATCGTCTACTAACCCCTCTCTTCTTTCTCTTTCCTCCTTTCTCCTATTCTTCGCTTTCACCTTCTTTGGCGGCAA